GCAATGTATGTGACAAACAAGATTCCAGCTGGCCTTGTGCTGGCAAAAACGAATAGCCAATAATGGTGAATGTCAGAAAAATGTTTTGGTTCAATGGTGTTATTATTGTGCCCCCTGAATTTGTCGTAGCATTAATGGCAATAAATAGGGGGCATTAGTTCATTAGCATTCCTTAGTGTTGGTGTGTATATATATATATATATATATATATATATATATATATATATATATATATATATATCTCAAGTATAGGATTGGTGTATATGGAATAAATTCCAATAACCAAAAAATGGTATTCTTAAGAGTGCTCAATACAGAGTAGATTGTTATATATATTTGTACTCATGTATTTGTACTAATGTGTATATAAGTATATATGAGATATTTATATATATATTTGTGTGTTTAGATGTTTTCTTTTTTTATATATTAGTTTTATTTTTAAGTGTTACATTTTTGCCTGGACATTTGAATTTGGTTTTCTTCTTATTTGTGTATGTGTATATATTTATTTTTCTATCCATTTCTATATATTTTAGTGTCCTTTTTCCTTATGTTGTTCATTGGTGAATATTTGCTTTCTATTCTACACATATTAAATTTTATCTATTCAACCATTTTTATCTATATATCTTTGCCCGTACAAGTTATATTTTAATAGTATGTTAGAATTCATTTACTAACACTTTCAAATTTGAATATTTCTTGGTGGCTATATGTGTGTGTCTTTATCAATGTATGTGTGTATAATCGCTTATGTGTTTTTCATTGTATATGTTGTCCATTTTTCTTTTTTTTTTTTTAAGGGTCATGGACAACTATTTCCTGTTTTGTCACTTTTTTGTATGTTTATATATCTAAATATGTCTACATGTTTGTGTATTGTAATCTGATTGTGTATGTATTGTCTTTTGCAAGATTTCACCCTCCCCTGCCCACATCATCACTTGAAATGTATCTAAGTTGTAACGAAGCTCAGAGCAACATTAGACTTTAACATTTATTCCAACTGAATTTTGGGCCTTTCAATAAAAACAAAATAACAAAACGTGTATTTTTTCCTCAGTTTCTTTATATAATTTTATAATTTTTTAAAATTGGTAATTTTGAATTTTATAGTAAAATTTAATATTAATTAGAATGAATTCTATTTTAGTCTAACCCTAACATTAAAGCATTAATTAATTATAACCAAAGTTCGTTGTCAAGTTTTTTGAATTCTCATATACTTGTATTCTGATTGGTCATTGCAGCTTATATAACGTTTCCCCTAGCGAGGGGTGTTTGATTGATTTGAACCTTTTAAAACCCTTTATTCTATATTCAACACCATCATTTGATAAGACACCAGAAGTGTTGAAACAAAATAGCTATTTTTGTAGTGACTTTATAACATATTTATGTTATAATCTTTGAATAAATAATTATATATATATATATATACACACACACACAGACAAATGTTTCTATAATTGTCTATAGATGAGTCAACAGTTATCATATATTTATAAAGTTAACTTTCATCTAAAGCAAAGATTTTATTTTTTGAGGAACTGTAGGCTATTGAGTGGACAAGAGTAGCCATTATGATGTGAGCACTCAAAAATGAATGCAACCACTTACGAACAATACTGCAAATGAGAAACCTACACAAATACACATATATGCATTGTGTGTGTGTGTGTGTATATATATATATATAAGTATATGAAGTGTGAACATCGATAATACCCCAAGTGGTAACAGTTTCTTTCATGGTTGAATGCATTCTTCAGGCCATATAATATGTGTATGATAAGATATAATATTAATGTATGCTATACTTAGAGTAAAAGTGCTCAATATATGGGACAGAGCAAATGTAAATATGGCCTCAAGATTTGCAATCAAGCATGAAACAGATTATTGTCACTCACTGTTGATTTCAGTATCCAAATTTCTTATGAGTCTGTGTATGCATGAGTATATAGATAATGTGCAAAAATTCATGTGAATATATATGATACATGTGCATCCATATACACACATGATCTGGAAATATCTTGGTGTGAAACTGACAGTCACCATACAGTTTTGACCCCTATGTCCACACTGTTTATTTACAATGTAAATTTTAGATTTATAATATAACCTTTTTTTTAATTTAACCTGTAGGGGCATCATGTGTATGGCAGCCACAGTAGAAGTGGTGTTTGCTGGGCAAGATAGCCTGATAGCCCAACCCACTCCAGGCTGGTTTTGAATTCAGAGTGTTTCCTTCTCCTAGACTGGTTGCCACCCAAGGTTATAGAACCCAGCCTGTCCTGCAATTTACCCATAGCTGGGGGGAGAAGAAGAGGATTCATACCTTTCCCAAGGGTATTAACATGCAAGTGAATATAATGGATCCGACTGGAATTCAAACTCGGCTCTCCGATTCCTCAATCCAAGCCACTATCCATTACTCCACTCCCTTCTATAACTGCATGCATACAAAGTAAAATATCTAAAAGGGGTCTTGAGATTTTCTCAGCCTCAACCTTCTTCCCAAATACCCAAATGTCAGAATCTTAAGAAGTAATTTTTGGTGAGGCTGAGAATTTAACTCCCCCCCTCCTAGATGTCGATGCAATTAGAAAGAAAAGGACAAAACAAATTTAAGATATTAACAAATATGTGGAACATAAAAAAATTGATAAACATTCAAATTGTATCACATTTAGGACTGGATGCGTAACTTTACTTATTTACATATCTATAAGACAATTTGGAAAACTTTGACAGACTTCATGACAAAAACCAGTGACATCGGGGGAAAAAAAATTCAGTAAA